GACTACAGAAATGTGTTATGAGTGGATTCACAAAACCTGTCATTAACAGTTAAAATCTGATTCTTTTTATATATATAATATGTGTACTAACACATATCACACTATTTTTGTCTGAGAGTTTTAACAGCTCTCTTCTTTGATATCTCAGGAATCATTTCAGTTGAGATTTATTTTTATTTTTTTGAATTTGAGATTTTGAAATGAATAATTCTGGAGCCAGTGGGTGGTGTGCTGATTAGGGTGCTGGACTACCACACTGCCAACTTTGGTTTGAATCCCAGACCCAGTGGCTTGAAAATCATGCTGGACAGGAACCAGCAGTTAGCATAATGGCTATGTCGCTGGATTCCCATGTAATAGACTGCGGTTTGCGTCCCGGACCCAGTGGCTTAAAACTCACGCCGGGCGCATCTGCATGCATGCCCAAGATCCCGAGAGGAGAGTGGAGGAGAAAGGATTGCGGCATGACCATCCCCCCTGGGGGGTAATTTCTCGCTTTCTGTCTCTATGTTTCTCTCTGTCTGTCTGGCGAGCGCACGCACCCAATAGCGGAAAAATAAATAAATAAATAAATAAATAAATAAATAAATAAATAAAATCATGCTGGACACATGTGCATGCATGCCCCAAAGTCCTAAAAGAGAATGCAGGAGGAGAGACTGCATTGTAGCCAAACTTCCAGGGGTTGGTTTCTCTCTTTTCCTCTCACTGTCTCTCTCCAGTGAACGCATGGATCGTATGACAAAAAAAAAAAAAAAAAAAAATTAAATAAAAAAAAGGATAATTCAAAACAAAGAATATATTGGTTTATCTCAAAACTATTATCTTTTAAAATATAATTCATCATACTAGAGGCTTCTAGGATTTACTCATTAAATTTGCTGCAGAATACAATAACTGCATCAAACAGAAAGGAATGTGAGTTGAAAGCACTATCTGACATGTAGCACTTCGGCCTATTTGAAATGATTTTATTTAGAACTTAAATACCTACTTTCTATTAAGACACTGAAATTAATTGCTATGGGGAAATTTAAAAAGTTCCTAAAAGGTATTTCCCCAAAATAAAGAAGTAAATAATGCCAGTACTACTTACTGTTTTTTTTTCTTCCTTCAACCTGAAACTACTTGAAAGGCAGACAAATTCAAAAGTTAAACAGTGTTGAATAAGAAATATGAGGAACCTTTAACAAGTTCGTGGAATAACCCATAATATGAAAAAACTATCCACAGATTCCAAAAAATACTTGCACCAAAATAAACTCATACTTTAATTTCATTTTCCACAAATTTCTCAAATACCTTTGTACTGAGTTGATAATGATTTCATCTCCTATTCCTGTTTGTAATTTTTTTCTTTATTTATGATAAAATGCATGCACAAGAGATTGAAAGAGAGAGAAACAGAGAGAAGGAAGCTCTCCGCCGAATCAGGTCAGGCTGTGATCCCCTTCCCGCAGTCCACTGGATCTTGGGCACCTGTGCACACACTCAGTGTGCTTCAGACTGACCGGACTGGGATTTCAAACACGACTGCCATGTGGATCTGGTTTCTCTTGAGTAGTGCATTACCACTGTGCCATGAAGCCAGTCCCCTACTGATTACTTTTATGTACTTTTCATTCCATAACTTCCAAAGAACCATCTACAAAAGCTCCTTTCCCTTCTGTGGTTGAGCCGCAGTTCACATTTAAACTGGAAATTCAGTATCTATGGTACTTTGGGCAAGACAATTATTGGAGCATCACTGCTGTATGACAAGGGTGTAAATGCCTACATGGTAAAGTTTCTGATGGATCCAATGAAAGAATATGAGTAAGATAAATGTAAGACGCTGATTACACAATTACCTCTCTATTTAGGAAAGATATAAGTTTTTGAAAAGCATCTGAGTTAGTTTTATAAATTTGCCCTTGCACATTAATTGGGTAAATCTAGTTAAGCAATGGACAACTCAATAAAATTATTCAGTGGGTCCTGCCAATTGAATCAAAGGATCAAACCAATAACATGATGTAGACCTGGTTATTTTAAAAGTTGAAAGGAACCTTGAAAGTAAGGCTAAACTACCAATAAAAAGGGAAGAGGCAACATCCCAGAACGTGCCTGAATGCAGAAGAGTTCTTATACTCTAGGAATCACCAAAGCTCCAGGGAGTAGTTCAAGCCAAAACTGTGATTTCTCTGCCTTGTCCTTCAAATGATGTGTACTACAAGCACATTTTCTGTGCAGCTGGAGGCTTTGTTATAGACAGAAGGATCCTGCTTAGTGAGGCCAGTGTTTATGGCCTAACTTTTTTAAAGAGGAATTTGGAAAACTTCCCAGACTCTGCATCTGCCCCCAGCCCTTACACCTCTGAGTATAAGGCCAGCAAGGGAGACAGCGAGGACGACTAAATTTATTAACGGTGGACGGGCCACTCTATCTTTCACGGCAACAACAGTAGGTGATCCCATCAAAAATCTGTCTGCTGGCTAGCCTGCAAATCCAAGCTGACATCCTTGCAGTAGCTATACCCAGCTGAATGGAAATGGATGCTATTTCCTCGAAGAAACGCATCATGAGCCAAATGCTGGACCAGGGAGACAGTTTCTATTTACCTCGAAGAAAACACTGGTACTATTACCCATGCATTCACCCACACGTCTTCATTTTCTTAAACATTTTTTATCAGTTAAGAATATTAAGCAGAAGTTCAAAATTTTAGTGGAGTTCAATGGTTCACTTTCTAATACTCTGCGATGATCTCGATGGGAGAGTAGTTAAGCATGCATTAATCACACATCTCAGCTAGAATATAATCGCGATTCATTACAGACATGCGTCAGCAGCTAGCCTCACCTCAAAGCAAACTATGGTAGGTAAAAACAAACCAATGATTCTATAGTTCAAATTCTAGTTCACTGTCTTCACATATGTGCATGCTCACGTGCACTCTCTCTCTCACTCTGTGTGTGTGTTCATATCTGTGTTTTTTGTTTTTACTTTTTGCCATAGGGTGTGTGTGCTAGCCAGCGAGAGACAAAGAAAAGAAAGGAAAGTGAGAAATCACCTACATAGCCATCCCTTCTTCATCTCCTTCTGGGATTTGGGGCACACACACACACACACACACACACACACACATATGTGCCTGACATGATTTTCAAGCCGCCAAGTCTGGAACTTAAACCACAGTTGGCCATGTGGAAGCCGAGTGCCTTAACTAACATTCTACCTGTTGGCCCCCACTTAGGCAGTATTTATGTAGTATTTTAAAGACTAGCTATTTGCTACAAAATGACATTCTCATGGGTTAAATAGCTTTATGAACTTACAGAACAATACATATGAATTCCCCCCCCCCAAGAAAAAAAATATATATATTGGAGAGATATGTGCTATAAGGCATGTGCATTCACCAGAGAGATCGAGAAAGAGAAAATGAGAGATCATCCCCCCAAGAAAGATGGCTACACTGCAATTTCTTCTCCATCCTCCTCTCAGGATTTTGGGCTTGCACATACACACACACACACCTGGCATGAGTTTCAAGCCATCAGGACCAGGACTTGAACCATGGTCAGTCATGTGGGACGCCAGCACCTTAATCACTACATCACCTACTTGTACACACATACACGTGTGTGTGTGTATGTGTGTATATATATGTGTGTGTGTGTATGTGTATATATATATATACACATATATATACACACACATATATATAAACATGTATTTATATATATTTAGAAAAGTAAAGGATGTGCCATAGTTACAGTTGTCTATAGCTACACTGAAATAGTGCTGGTAGAAACTAATTCATATCTGTCATAAGGCTTCTATTATATTACATAATGAAGAACCAGAATAGAGTAAGGTGACTGGGCAGTTTGGGGTCCAATCCTATCTCTATTTAAAAATAATGTGTTTTGTGAATTTCTTTTGCACTGATTTTAAAAAAATATTTATTTTCTTTCATTAAGGAGAGCTCATGAGCACCAAAGAGCATGACAAAAACAGACTTTCTCAATGGAGTCTTATTACACTGGATTCCCTTACCCCAATCCTTCAGCTAGTCAGGGTCTTATGTTTCAGGCTGATTCAGGATTTGAACCCTCAGTCACCAGGTGGCTTCCAACACTGCAGTTCAATACACTACTGATCACCACTAAGGAGGAACTTTCATTTAAAAATATATTGCATTACTACATTATTTATAAACATTAAGTTTTACTCATTGCAGTAATAGCCAGAAATATTATGTTTTCCCTGAAATTAATTCTCCCTATAATGCTTTCCAAAGTAAACAGAATACTAATACTTAAACTAAAACAAAAGGAAGAAAGTAAATAAGGAGAGAGAGGGGAAAAGAAAGAAAGGAAGGATATCAAATTCCTGTTAGGAATGCTTAAACAAACCAAGTAACAAAAGCTTTCTTTTAAGTATTTTTTTAAAGAATTATTTGTTTATTTATTTATTTATTTATTTTTTAATTTGGTCAGAAAGGGAGGTGGTGAGAAAGCAAGTTGCCAGGCCCAGGACTTGAACCACGGTCAACCATGTGGGAATCCAGTCCCTTAACCATCACTTCACCTGCTGACCCCTCTTATAATTATTTTTAGAAGCTTTAATAATCTTCACATTGAGAATCTCCAATAACATGGAGCATTTCTCAAACTCATTGATTCACAGAAACCAGTGACGAATAATTCTGAGGAACACATTCTGATGAGTAATGTCTGGTAGTGATGACAAGCATGTCCAATACAGCCTTCTCTCCCCATTCTTTACTTTCTATATTTTACTTATCCCACTCCCTCCTCCCCTGACCAGATACTAAAAAGGTGGACATAGTGACACAATCAGGCTACAGTCATAAAATAATGAATTAGTTTTTCTATAAATAGGCATAGTACGAATTTATTTAAAGGGGGTATCAAAATTTTAAAAATTAAAAAATGAAAAAAACACCTTGGGGCTCAGTGCCTCTTCAAGACAGCAATGTTCAACACACTTACCGGTAAAGTCTGTGTTGACTGGGTGAGTGGAGTTGGGAAACTTATAATACCCATTTCCTAGGAAACGAACTCCTTTCATCATTGTGGCCATTGGAGCTGGGAGAGAAGACGCTCTCCTTTCCAGCTGATATACAGGAAAGGGTCCATTCAGCTCTTCAGGTGGAGACCACATAAGATGGATGGACGTGCTGTTGAGTCCTTTAGCCAGGGGGGGCCTCAGTTGGGCTGGTGCTGAATTATTAGAAAATACTTGTTACAGTCCAGCATGTCGTTTCTGTGTCTAGATATTTACACGCAGGTACATTTCTCATGTACATCATGCTTAAAAATCAAATCAGTCCTGGTCTCAAGTATCTATATGGTTCTAGGAACTGAAAATACAATATGGGGGTTCAACTTAAATGTCACTAACTAAAATGTAATTGGTACACAAATATATAACCCAAAACGTTCACTATGAAATAATTCTTTTGAAATAATTTATCTGTACTTTTTGTTCAATAACGGATATATTACTTACTATAATAGCTATTTTTTGGTGCCCAACCTAGAGTGTGTTTACCAAGCAAGTACCCAAATGTCCCAGCTTCTGTGCCTATTGGCTACTAATGGCTCATGGCTGCCTCCTTCTCTAGAGAATTCTCCTTGGCGGAGTGGAAACTGCCTCACTGAGAAGCTATAGAATCCTCTGACAAAACCTGCAGGCAACAACTAGCACTGATCAGAAAGGATAAAGCCCCTTGTGCTAATGTGACATCAATTCACAGAGGCCAAGCAGATAATGGAAATGATTGAATTGGGCTGGTTGGGGCGATAAGAGGGAGTATGAAGTCTGAGATGAACTGGGCAGGGGTGAATTGTCACTAATTCATGCCAACCAGTGGGTAATGCAGGACTGCTGACATAAGGTTGTGAAATCTTTTAGTTTGCTAAAAAAGAAAAAAAAAATCAGAAGACAGTCTTTTAGTTTTTACTTTTTTTAAAGGAAAGTTTTAGGGACATAGCAAAACTGAAAAGAAGGTATAGATATCCATAAAGCTATGAATAATATGCCACTACACCTGCTTAGTCTCCCCAGAGAACAACACTCCTCACCAGAGTGGTACATCTGTCTTAACTGACGAAACAAAATTGATACATAACCATCCAAAGTCCATAGTTGGCATTAGGCCTCAGTTTGAGTGTTCCACATTCCATGGGCTTGGACAAACATAAAAATGCATGAATAAATCAGTATAGCATCATACAGAGTATAGCGCCTGCCCAAATGCTGTGTGCCATGTGTATTCATCGCTCTTTCCCCCAGTCCACAGGCAACCACTGAGCTTTTTATATTTGCACAGTATTTCTCTTTTCCAGAATGTCATGTAGGTGGGAGTCATACAATATATAATCTTTTCAGGTTTGCTTTCTTAGAGGTTTTTGCTTTAGGGCATGTGCACTCACCAGAGAGAGAGAGAGGGACAGAGAGAGATAGAGACAGAGAGAGGGAAAGTGAGAAATCACCCCCCTCATGGGATGGCTACATCACAACCCTTTCTCCATTCTCCTCCCATGATCTTGGGTGCACACACACACACATATACACATACACACGTGTCCTACATGATTTTCGAACCACCGGATCCAGGACTCAAACCACAGTCAGCCAAGTGGGAGTCCAGAGATGTAATCACTACACTATCTGCTTACCCCAGATTCACTTTTTCTCTTAGTACTATGCATTTCAGGTCCCTCCATGTTTTTCCATGGCCTGATAGCTCATTGCTTTTTAGTATGGAATAATATAATATTGTCTGGGTATATCATAGTTTATCTATGCACACAATGAAAAATACCTGGATTGCTTCCTAATTTGGGGAATTATTAATAAAGCTGTCATGAAGGTACACATGCAGGATATTGTGTGGGCATATTTTTCAACTCCTCTGGGCAAGTAACCAAGGAGTTGATTGCGGGATCATATCACGTATGCATGTTTACTTGTGCCACAGACTGCCACCCTCTCCCAAACTGGCTGTAGCCTTTTCCTTCCTACCAACAGTGAGAGTTCCTGCTGCTCTATTTATATTCTCACCAGGGCTTGGTACTGCGTGTGTGCTCGATTTGGCCATTCTCGTTAATGCTGTCTTGCTTTACACTGCACTTCTCACATGACATGATGTAGAGCATCTTTCTAGATGCTTATATGCTATCTGTATATGTTCTCCCATCAGGAAGTAATTTTTATGCAATTTTCTGATTGTAAAAGTTTAGAAACTGATTTAAATTGAAATAAACAAGCAAGAATCTCTCTCAAAGCCAAACAGCTCCTGCATGAAGGAGCAAGCTTGCAGATTTAGTGGTTGGTCCAGGCACAAGGAACTCTGGGCAGCACCCTGGGTCCTGAGTGGCAGAGAGCACCCGGGTGATGATGTCGCCACACCACCAGCAGTGGCCTAAGCCTTAGGGCAATAAGTACACAAAGCCTTTGAGTGCAGTAAGGTCCCCGCATGCTTTCAAGACCTGGGACACTGGCAATTCTTTGGAGGCTCCAAGGGTTCCCTAGGAGTGAAAGAGTTTCAGATTTTCCTTACAAACTACAGGAATATGGGATCAGACTGACAACTGAGTTATTGGAAATGAAGGTTAGTTCTGCTTTTATTTTTTTTCTTCAACAGTTGAGTCTGTGGACCGAGCTTCATTCCACTCTGAGTATGTCCACAAGATATGAGAGGTTACAGTGAAGAAGGAGCAAATGTTCGTCATCACTGAGCCTTATTACTAAAGCCATGGGGTTTTCTTTTTTCCCCAGATTTTGGCTACAGGGCATGTGTACTCACCTGGGAGAGAGAGAGAGAGAGAAAGAGAGAGAAATCACCCCCCCACACACACACCAGGGGCGAGGGGTGATAGACCCTTTCTCCTCTTCACTCCTTCTGGGATTGTGATACGCACATTCATGCTCCTGCGGTGTTTGTCAAGCCACCAGTCTAGAACTCAAACCACACGCTCAACCATACGGGATCCAGATCCCTAATGACCGTGCCACCTGCAGGCTCCAAGGTCATGTACTGTAAATTTATATCTGTATTAACATGGCCTTACACAGATACAAAGTCACTGCCCACTCCAATAAACACACTTCCAAATGATGTGAATGCAAGAACTGAAACCGCCAATAGCAGTTTGAGTCCTAGACCCAGCAGCTTGAAAATCACACTGGGTGTGTGTACAAGCATGCCCAAAATCCGGACAGGAGAGGAGCTTGGACAAACATAAAAATGCATGAATAAATCAGTATAGCATCATACAGAGTATAGCGCCTGCCCAAATGCTGTGTGCCATGTGTATTCATCGCTCTTTCCCCCAGTCCACAGGCAACCACTGAGCTTTTTATATTTGCACAGTATTTCTCTTTTCCAGAATGTCATGTAGGTGGGAGTCATACAATATATAATCTTTTCAGGTTTGCTTTCTTAGAGGTTTTTGCTTTAGGGCATGTGCACTCACCAGAGAGAGAGAGAGGGACAGAGAGAGATAGAGACAGAGAGAGGGAAAGTGAGAAATCACCCCCCTCATGGGATGGCTACATCACAACCCTTTCTCCATTCTCCTCCCATGATCTTGGGTGCACACACACACACATATACACATACACACGTGTCCTACATGATTTTCGAACCACCGGATCCAGGACTCAAACCACAGTCAGCCAAGTGGGAGTCCAGAGATGTAATCACTACACTATCTGCTTACCCCAGATTCACTTTTTCTCTTAGTACTATGCATTTCAGGTCCCTCCATGTTTTTCCATGGCCTGATAGCTCATTGCTTTTTAGTATGGAATAATATAATATTGTCTGGGTATATCATAGTTTATCTATGCACACAATGAAAAATACCTGGATTGCTTCCTAATTTGGGGAATTATTAATAAAGCTGTCATGAAGGTACACATGCAGGATATTGTGTGGGCATATTTTTCAACTCCTCTGGGCAAGTAACCAAGGAGTTGATTGCGGGATCATATCACGTATGCATGTTTACTTGTGCCACAGACTGCCACCCTCTCCCAAACTGGCTGTAGCCTTTTCCTTCCTACCAACAGTGAGAGTTCCTGCTGCTCTATTTATATTCTCACCAGGGCTTGGTACTGCGTGTGTGCTCGATTTGGCCATTCTCGTTAATGCTGTCTTGCTTTACACTGCACTTCTCACATGACATGATGTAGAGCATCTTTCTAGATGCTTATATGCTATCTGTATATGTTCTCCCATCAGGAAGTAATTTTTATGCAATTTTCTGATTGTAAAAGTTTAGAAACTGATTTAAATTGAAATAAACAAGCAAGAATCTCTCTCAAAGCCAAACAGCTCCTGCATGAAGGAGCAAGCTTGCAGATTTAGTGGTTGGTCCAGGCACAAGGAACTCTGGGCAGCACCCTGGGTCCTGAGTGGCAGAGAGCACCCGGGTGATGATGTCGCCACACCACCAGCAGTGGCCTAAGCCTTAGGGCAATAAGTACACAAAGCCTTTGAGTGCAGTAAGGTCCCCGCATGCTTTCAAGACCTGGGACACTGGCAATTCTTTGGAGGCTCCAAGGGTTCCCTAGGAGTGAAAGAGTTTCAGATTTTCCTTACAAACTACAGGAATATGGGATCAGACTGACAACTGAGTTATTGGAAATGAAGGTTAGTTCTGCTTTTATTTTTTTTCTTCAACAGTTGAGTCTGTGGACCGAGCTTCATTCCACTCTGAGTATGTCCACAAGATATGAGAGGTTACAGTGAAGAAGGAGCAAATGTTCGTCATCACTGAGCCTTATTACTAAAGCCATGGGGTTTTCTTTTTTCCCCAGATTTTGGCCACAGGGCATGTGTACTCACCTGGGAGAGAGAGAGAGAGAGAAAGAGAGAGAAATCACCCCCCCACACACACACCAGGGGCGAGGGGAGATAGACCCTTTCTCCTCTTCACTCCTTCTGGGATTGTGATACGCACATTCATGCTCCTGCGGTGTTTGTCAAGCCACCAGTCTAGAACTCAAACCACACGCTCAACCATACGGGATCCAGATCCCTAATGACCGTGCCACCTGCAGGCTCCAAGGTCATGTACTGTAAATTTATATCTGTATTAACATGGCCTTACACAGATACAAAGTCACTGCCCACTCCAATAAACACACTTCCAAATGATGTGAATGCAAGAACTGAAACCGCCAATAGCAGTTTGAGTCCTAGACCCAG